GGCGCGGAGGGCGAAGGCAGACTGGAGCTGGAGGCGACTATGTTTCCGTTAGGGAAAGTTGTTTTTCGAAGAGTGCGCATGGCGCGTAGTGCAACGCTGCCAAATGCCTGGCACCATCGTCCATAGGTGCCACCACTTACACATTCACACATCATTCATAATTATATTAATTATATTGGATTATTTCACATGAAATATCTTTTTCCAATGTTTTTAGTAAAATTACTACATAAATACAAAATCATAGTAAGTAGTAAGTAATATATTTTTTGACAAATTACATAAGACATAGGTACTACATAAATTTATAATTTAGGGGGAAAGTAGCAAGGGCTCTGTACATCCTAACCCGGCTTAAAGCAATCATCCATAATTTTAAATACTTAGGATATATATATTGTAGAAACATAGGATTCACTTAGTGGGGGAAAATTAAAAAAAAAACCACTAATCATCTAAGTTGACTCATATTTGGCAATTAAACCCATTTTTAGTGTTCTATAATAATAAATAGTAATAGATGTCAACAATAAACCAAAACATCTACAAAGAACAAGTACAGTACATAAAAATAACAATACCATCAAATGTAAAACATAAACAACAATAACATATAAACAGCAATAAAATAATAAAAAATAAAAACAACTAAATAAATAAATTATTCAGAAATCGTGAGATGCGGCCTGGTGTGATGTAGGTTTCAGAAAAACATTTTCTTTATCGTGCCAACGTTTCAATCTTTATTGAGATCATCTTCAGGGCCTGGGATTTACAAAACATTGTTTAAATTTAACAAAAACATGTAGGATGTAGAAAAAAGTGAATTTATACAATGCAAATAAATATATTTTTTTTATATTCTATCAAAATGTTTCTACTCACTCGAAGTGTTTGTTTTCTGCGTAATTGTGCCATTCTTGTGTGTCGTGTTAAGAGTGCCAGTGTATAAACATAAAACAGCAAAACCTCACTGTCACTCTCGACACGACAGAAACAAACACTTTGATTGAGTAGAAATACTTTGATTGAATATAAAAAAATATACATATATTTAATTATTTGCGTTGTATAAATTCACTTTTTTCCACATCCTACATGTTTTTGTTAAATTTAAACAATGTTTGTAAATCCCAGGCCCTGAAGATGATCTCAATAAAGATCGAAACGTTGGCATGATAAAGAAAATGTTTTTCTGAAACCTACATCTCACCAGACCACAATCTCACGATTTCTGAATAATCATTGACATACGGTCACTAATTACCAGGCATAAATAAATGAATTTAAATAAATATGGCATAGCTCTAAAACAATGGCAAGATACAATATTATTATCACAGGTATAACACACAGGCGCTTGCTTGTATCATTAAGGAGTCAGATATTTTTCATAGGTAGAAGTTACAAGGTTTATCATTGTCTTTACATTATACTCCTATGTTTCCTCGAAACTGTGAGAGAGAAGTGCAAAAAATTGTTTCGTGCTCACGACTATGATGTCGTGAATCCATTTTATGCCAGTTTGCGTATGGATTTGGGTAAGCTTTGTGTATTCCCGAGATGATGTGGCGAGTCTTAGGAATTAGTTTTGTATGACTTGAAGTTTATTGATATTTGTATCACAAGTGTAGCTCCATGTAGGGCAGGCGTACAACAACATGGGTCTGATGATGGCTTTAAAAATTAGAGTTTTGTTCCCCATGCTGAGAAGCGATTCTCTAGATAAAAGTGGAAATAATGTCTTAATGGCATATCGTCCTTTAACGACTAGCCCTTGGACGTACTTACCAAAATTGAGTTTCCTGGGTAATGACAGTCCCAGATAAACAACTTTTTCCACCTAATTTACTAAAACTCTCCCCAATAAGATCCTATGTGTGAGCAATGGTCTGCGCCTAGTAAAGAGAATTGCTTCGGTCTTAGTATTTATATTGAGCTTCCATCTAACACAAAAACAGCTAATTTTTGCAAGCTCAAGATTTAATCTTTTTACGATGGTGCATAGTCTCCATGATGAGCAATAGTGGGCCATGTCATCAGCGTAAAATGCAAGATGGGAGTTTTTTATTTTAGGCATGGTGTTTAAGAAGAGTGTATTTGAATAAGGAAGGTCCAAGGATCGAACCCTGTGGAACACCTGTAGCTGTTTTGAGCTATATAAATACAAAATCATTTTAGTCGAAGTATTTACCTTAATTTTTTACACATTTTTCCCAACGCATGAACCAACTTTTTTATGCCGGAACTGAAGAATTCTTAACTCTGAAATGAAACAAATTCTGAAAATGCTTTTTGGACTTGATCAACATTTGAAAAAAAATTTCCTTTGATGAAGTTGTCTAAATTCCTAAACAGGTGAAAATCTGTTGGAGACAAGTATGGAGAATAAGGCCTCTTTCAGATGAGGCTGTTTGGTCGATACAATTATGTTGCCCAGTTGACTCTTAATTAGTTTACTTTCATTTGAAGACATTTCTTTTCTGTTTTCACACCAGGCCACTTGTGGAATCAACCTCTCTTCCCAACAGGAGGTCACTACGGTGTTAGAATCCACGGAAGCAGGAGCACTTCTTGATCTTGTGCTTGCACTTCTGCAAAAAGAGAAGCAAAAAAGGAGGAACCCCAGTAAAGAAAAATGTGGGTTTATCCATTATTATAAAATTGGGAAACGGGCGCTTTCTCTCAAATACCGTTGTGCTACTTCCCTCCAAGCTTTGCTTCTTTTAATTTTATCACTATACTCCTGACACTTCATGTCCCATATCACGGAACTAATACGATTGTCTTCAATGAACTGTTGAAACTTGCATATTATACGTATTATAAAACTAACCAAATTGAGGGTCAATGGGGTGCTCAATATTTTGCCATCAACCCTCACACGTCACGCATTCATGACACATGAACATTCTCTCTCAACACAACCTTTACGTATATTTTACAACTAACCTATTAATGGTTGATACTGTACTCATTATTCCACTATTGACCTTCTCAAATCAAACATTCATACAAATAAATTTATTCACTCTCACCACAACCTTTATATATAATTTACAACTAACTAAATTGAGGGTCAATGGGGAACTATATTCCACCATCTACCCTCTCACATCACACGTGCACACTAATAAATACATTCACTCTCAACACAACCTTTACACATATTTTGTTGAAGTCTTGAGGAGCAGGGTCAAGAAGGTAGTTCAAAAACACCTTTTTCATTTTTGTGTGAGTGTTGTGAACCCACAAAACCAATATGACACTACAAGCACCACACTTTACGCCCTGAAGATGACCCGAATAAAGGTTGAAACATCGGCAAAAGAATGAAAAAGGTGTTTTTTAAACAACCTTCTTCACCGCAATTCATGACTTCAACAAATTATGAAACAACAGGTCACTAAAAAACACACACTTTACACATATTTTACAACTAACCAAATTGAGTGTCGATGGGGGTCCTCAATATTCCACCATCAACCCTATCATATCACACATTCCCGCTAATAAATACATTCACTCAAACACAAGCTAGGTATACACAACTATTGTAGATGATGGGTTTTGGTCTGCGAGACTGTGAACTCGTGTTGAACCGGCACATGGCCACTACTGGGTCTGTCTTCACTCGCGCATTTTTTGTTTGAATTATTCAAACGCTTTCAGCATTGCGCCATCTTCAGTGAGAAAAATTGGCGCTGCTACCTTCTTTTAGTCATTTTTTATTGTATCCTTAGTGTTGGAGGGCCAGATCGTGTGGTTAAGTCTGGAGGTTGGGATGTCTCCCATGTGTCCAAATATTAATTTTCTTGAGAACTATTTTGTTTTATTTGTATTTAATATTTTCAAAGTGAATAGTAATGTAGTAACATTTTGTGGAACTTGTTGAAAAATAACTATGTCTGACGGAACTCAGAAAATTAAAGCTTCAAAATCTTTAATTCACTACTTTCGTGGTCCGCTTGACTAATTAATACATGACAATTAATTAAGGTTTTTAGTTGAGATGACAAAAGTTAATGGCACGAGAGGGATTCGAACCCACAACCTTCGGCTAGATACACCGCTACTCTACCACCTGAGCTATCGTGACCTCGATCCACTCGGACATCAACTCCCCATCTCAACCCCCACCTTATGAGTGAGAGTGGGTTCAAATCCCTCTCGTGCCATTAACTTTTTTCATCTCAACTAAAAACCTTAATTAATTGTTGCTTCAAAATCTATTGAGTTTATTCATTAAACTAAAATTAAATGGAAATACTTTATTAAGAAGCTTCTCAAACTGTCGCCAATTAGCACCCCAGACTACATCTTATATATTGAGAGCTCATTCACACCGCTTTACAGCTATACTCTGAGCCAGCATCTGAAATATATTAGAAAAGTACTAACCACTTACCTGACAGACTTACGCAACTTTTGGCCAGTCATGGCAGAGTTAGGCAGGCTATGTGGTGTGGGAGCAAGCCTTCAGAATTGCAGGGTCGAGACTGGAAAGTACATTCTGCTTCCATGCTGTCTTGTTTCAAGTCCATGGTGTTTCAGTTTTGAAAGACCTGAATCATCTCCTTTTCTTTCCTCTTCCTTTTCTTTTTCCAGTTTCCTTTTAGCTTTTTTCTCTATCTATTTTTTTTTTTCATAATGTGAGTTCATCATTCAATTAATAATTAATATTTTAAAGAATATATTATTGTCATTATTGTTTTGTATATTTTATTGTAGGTTTTATTATTATTATTGCTTTGTTACTATTATACTATTTTTATAAAATACGTAAGGGGGCTTAAAGCCCTATTTGTACCTTTAAAATAAATAAATATTAAAATTTAGGATTAAATTACAAAACATATAAACCAATATGTTCCACGGGATACAATATTTCTGGTAATTATTAAATGGACGGATAGCTCCAATTCTGAGATCAGTTTTCTTATCTAAATGAGATTATCGGAGGGGGGGAATTACACAAAGGTTGTAACACAAAGAACACATACAAAGAAAACCAATTCTTTAATAATTATCGTTTTTTTATAAAGAAACTTATAATTTGAATATTTTTTTAATCCTACGTGTTAGATGTTAAGTACTAAAACATGGCAATGATTGTTTTTTAAAATGCAAGTGAAGTAAAATAAGGATTGAACAAATATAATCTACAACATTTTGTAGAATATTTCAAGAGCTAACAGATTAATACACATTAAGTTAAATCCACTATAAGTACTTTTCTTTCTAATTGAAAAAAAATGTGCATGTGGCAGCAATAAATGTAATACAATATTCTTATTAAACTATTAAAATATGTGCATCTATCAAAAGAATTCCTGCAACTCAAGAGTACAGAAATATCAAGAATGATATTTTTTGTTAAACTGTTATGGATTTTTAAAGTAATCAGAGACAATAAAATTTACTAACTTTGGATGTTACTGCTTGTATTGCTTTATCTATCCATACCACAATGGTCTGTCAAACTAATTTTACAATAAATTAGTTGTTTTTAATTAATCATAACTTTCTAGGTCGCTTATACAACAGACATAAATTTTGAACACAATAGTTTTAACTTATACTACACATTTATTCATGAACAAATGGATTTAAGATCATTTATAAATAAACTTTAACCTAACTTGGGGGTGACTAGAAATCATTAGTAAAATGACTCGTGTAGTCAATATTAATATTGTACAATGGCACATTTCACTCCAATACTGATTTCAAATTTTGTGGAATGTCTCCAGGATGGAACGCATGATTAGATGAACTAACATAAATAAGTTAATTATCTACAACGTTACACAAAACGATCTATACTGTCGGCTGTCTTAAAAATAAAATTTATTGTTACCTTTTCTTACAAAGGCTGTACAAACTTGTAGTACCAAATATGATTCCTGCAACGCAATAGTAGATTCCATAACTGACAAACTGAAATGGGGGGAAAAAATCAGTATATTTCAAAACGAATGTTTATAATTTAACATTACTTGTTGCCTTGGGTCTAAATTTAGGTAGTCCACAATGAAGTATGTAAGTAAGCTTTGCATTACAAGTGCAACAAACATATTAATGCCAAAAACCAATCCGTGGCTGTCCAAGTTGATGCACTTTGCTACCTCAGAACTAAAAAGAAAAATGTGTTTAAATATTTGATATTCAAATCAATTTTTAACGACTATTTTTATTGATTTGTCATATATTTTATTAATGTAAATTGTACATTTGAAATGAAAAAAATATGTCCTATCTGTAACACAGCTTTTTCATTTCAAAATAATTGCTTTATCTCAAGAAAGATTTTCTTTAATCCTTACGCTGCTATTGTTATCATGCCATTAAATAGAATAGTATAAAGAACGTAAGCCGCATGAGACAGCCAAATGTTGTCGAGCTCTGATAACGCAAACAATATCCCAGCAAATATAAACGAACATACTGTGAGGAGCACTTCCCCGTATCGGGACCAATTGATTTTGAGTTTACCACAGTAGAAAGCTACCACAGCACCTGAAAGAAAAAGTTTAATTACAAAATTCAAGACATTCAGGTTAAAGGACTCACTGAGAATGGTGTAAATAGCTTCAACGATGCCGTTAAGCTGAGTCAAGTACCCCGTGATATGATTCTCTAATATTACCTGCTCCCAAAGTGGTTGTATGTAAGTAAGTATCTGAAAATTGTATAATAATAAAATTAGTTTTATTAAACTTCAAAAAATAATTTTAGAAAAAATTAATAAAAATTAGATCTTTTACGATATACCTTACACTATATTATATGTAATTCTTAGACAAAAATTTTAACAATAGTACAAAATTGAAGTAAAGAGACTAACTCCTTTTAACCTATTAATACATGGATATCAGTAAGTACCAATATGCATGTAAGTTGGCAAGCCAGAACTAGCTGAACTGCCAGGAAATAATCAGGGATGTTGCCGCCATAGTGGTTAAGCTCAAATCGCAAATCAAAAGAACATCGCAGTAGTATCAATTTTTTCAATTAATTAATCTTTTCAGAAAGGTGTTGGTTGAGATGAAAAAGTCAGTGCCTTAAGCGGGATTCGAACACACGATATTCGGCTAAATACGCCGCTGCTCTACCACTTGAGCTATAGTAGAGAGCAGCGGTGTGTTTAGCCAAAGATCGTGGGTTCGAATCCCGCTCATGCCCCTGACTTTTTTATCTCGACCAATATCTTTCATAAAGATTAATTAATTGAAAAAAGTTAATTGGTCAATCGGGCCACGAACTGCAATGGATTTAGTAGTATTAATCTAGTAGCATTTGCACTTAGACTGTAACTGAGAATAGGTTAATTTAAGTTCCATTTTTGGGTTGCTACTTGCAATCTCTACCCATTATTGTGAATGAAGTTTTTTTAAAAACACGAATTTCATTCCAATAACGCTAACTTGTATGATTATGATATGTATATAGAATAAATATATATCTAAGAATTACATATAATATTTGTCAGTACATTCATATATGCAATTAATTAATAATAAATTAATCACCTGATAATATGCACATGTCCCTACAGCCCACCAAAATGCCCATTTCACAACATAAAGATTTGAGTATGCACTAATAAAATCCTTCCATAATCGTGAAAGTCCTCGTTTTAAAAATGTTACACAATCTACCTACATTGAACAACAGACAAAATATAAATAAACCGAATATATGAATAGTTTAGCAATGGATCCATGGAAAAAAGATTTTTATCAATTGTAAATCTAAATTTTCTTAAAATTGTCAGTTTCTCGTAAGCTGATAAAAAACGCGATAGACAATAATTAAATGCATGAACTAATTAAGTATAAAAAAGCAAGCACCTCTGTTTGTTCCAACACATTAGTATCATCGCCATTGTCACTTTTTCCATTATCACGTTCCCTATGAAAATAAATAGATCTTGGTACTGGCGGTAGTATCAGTGCCCATATCAACGATAAGCACATGCCTGAAAGTGTTTTTTCATAATTAATTTCAGCAAGGGAGAAAACAATTTTATTTGTTATTGTTTTTCATTTACCTCCAAGTGTGAATATGTTTAAAAAATAATAAGAAAATCCGATGAAAACTAGAATTTGTGATGTAATACCAGAAATACACCTGCCAACAAGGTAAGCCGCTCTTGTGTAGCCTGATACTTCTTGATAATGGCTTACGCTAACTGTGGCATAAATGTATGTGTAGTACGCTACATCACATGCAATAATAAAACCATAAAAAACTTCCAGTACCTAAAAATCACACTTAAATAGAAATAGATACATAACTACTTTTGTATCTAAGCTTAAAAATAAAACATTTACATTTCTAATTCATCTAGTTCTCTTTTTTTCTTTTTATGGATTGTTTAATTTTTGTTATTTCTAGGCAATTTTAGGTTGTTTCTATGCTGAAACACCTTAACAAAAGGCCCTATAAATAATAAAAAATAAAACACTTATTTTAATATGATTGTACCAAAACCAACAACTATACATAAATACATATTGTCATTAATTTATTATGAACAATTCAAAACAGTCGTTTCGTTATTTCTGTTCATCCTTCTTTACTTATCCTTATTGGTGTTTTATCATTTCGCCATCTTTGTTATTTGGCAGGGATATAAGTAGGGTTAGGCAAGACACTGAATTTTTTCCACTTCTTGTGAAGGACAATTGTCCTTTGGGCTTAAATGCAGACTACTTTCTGATGAGATGTATGGCAATCCAAGCATTGTCTCAGCTACCAAAGTCCCCTTCTCTTATTTTTTTTTTTAATGTTGTTTACTTTTTCATGTTCCTCTTTCCTAGGCATGTGATGATGGAGCTGTTGGGGTATACAGAGCATCACTGCCACCTCACACTTTGATGATCAAGGTCCGGCTTGTTTCCTCTTTGAGGGTGCAAGCTTACACTCGTCGTCCCTGTTTGTATTCGTTTTCCAGTCCTGGTCTTCCTTTCTCCAACCCGAGAAATGGAAGATTGGAAGACTGTTGAATTACAGGGCTCATGGCTTTTTTTTTTTTTTTTTGTATTATCAACGCTTCTTCGATGGGAAATGCCAATCTTACGTTACAAAAAAAATCATTATATATTAATTATTGTTTATTACCTGAACTTCAAATAGAGATCTGCAAACAATCAACATGATATAAACCGTTACACTCGCCAGGCTATTTATTATAATAATCGGCTTGTACCGTAGCATGTCAGTTATTAAAAACATCACGACAAGAAGTATCATACTTGAATAAATGGACACTGGGTATATATCTACATTAATCTAGGATCAGAAGGAAAAAAATTAATATTAAATTTAATTTAAAACCATGAATATAATAAGTCACCTGGTCGATAGTAAAGTTCATAGGAGGGTTGTTTAAATACTTTGTCACAAATGGCTCTGAGGGTCGAAATTCCTTGATGACTCCATAAACACTTAGAATTAGAGATATCTTCATCCATGGTTCCATTTTTATATGATCTACAATAGCAAAAAGCATGTTAACATTGGAAAAAATCTGTTTCATCTCATTAGCTCTATGCATGAGTCATGCAAGCCTTATTTTCGAAGCCTGGTAAAGTGGATGCCATTTCCTTTAGTTACCCTTTCCCACAGACGTACGACACATGTATATTATGATGATTTTCTTCAAAATTGTGTAAGCAGCAAAAAACTGCATTTTCTCCGTCTTCAAATTAATCTTGTTACAAGAAATAATTATTTCTATTATTAGATGTTTTATCTAGAAACCAGGTCTTTTACACCTTACAGTAATGAGCGCCATGTCAACGCCTAAAACGGTGCGGGTATGGCCACCGATATCCATACAAGAGGAGACTCTTTAATAAGAAACTTTCTATAGAAATAATTATTAGATTTCTATAGAAATAATTGTCAGATATATATAGAAATAATTATTAGATATCTATAGAAATAATTATTAGATATCTAGAGAAATAATTATTAGATTCCTATAGAAATAATTAGATATAAGATGTCTTCTCTCTTTTCATACATAGTCGTAGAAAGGCTCAGCTGTTTTAGCCAATTAATTTGATGATAATGATGATGAAGAGGATGAGAGGTGACTAGGAAGTGGGTGTGTTTGTGCCCCAAGCACTGCAGCTTTCTGACTCATTGTCCTTTCCTAGTTCTTTAGTTAAGTCTGTCGATTCGACCCTCAAGGAGTAATAGGACAGTGACTGTCATTGCTGCAAATCCTTTTCCTGGGTTTTCTTTGTATCCCAGGGTAAGTCTATTTGACCTTTTTTTCACAAGGGTTTGCAACAGCAGAGGTCATATCAACCCTAGGGGTTGCAATGTTTTTGAAAAAAAGCCCATTTGTATGTCGGGTTCGAATGCAGGGCTGCTGCATTTGAAACAAGGACCTTTATCTTATAGAGATGAGCTCCGTGTCAAAGCCTAAACCGTTGTAGCCACCTACAAGAGGAGACTCATTAATTTAAAACTTTCAATAGAGAACATAAAAATGTCATTTATTTTGTTTTTTTAGTCAGCAGAATGTAGGTCTAGTAAGCATATAACGTTTTCTAAGTCTGAATGAAGAAATATTTCAATAAATATTTTGATCCGAATGAAGTCAAAACAGGACTGGTATTAAAAAGAGAAGTAAAGGACACATTGTATACAAACTGAAATAAAAAAAATTTTCTGCCAAAAATACTGCATATCTTTATGTTAGCTAACCAAAGCTGTACAAGGAATCTTAATCTGTTAATGTGAATAATAATATTGAAATGTGGCTCAGTCAAATTGCATAAAAAAAGATAACAGTTATTATGCCGACTGTTCAAGACAGCTCTACATCTAGACTGATAAGATTATTTTTAAATGAATCAACCAAATTTTCATATTTCTCAACTACTTTTAACTCTTAGGCCCGAAATACATTCATGCCCAATAAGCAAGAAATACATAATTTCTGAGTTCTCCTGCCCAGTTGAAAAACATTTCATTATTGTTTATTAACTCAAACAAATCTAAATGACATTGCTTGATCGAGTGATGGTCCAGCATTCTCAAAACTGTCTGTTATCAACTATTCTTTTAAACACTTTGAATTGGACCCTACCACATTCTAACCTGATGTATGGGTCAGGAATGATATGTGGGAGATGTAAAATTTGTTTAAAAAATTTCAGCTGTCTTCTTTCAATTTTGTCAGCGTATTTAGGTGATCAAATCTCTAAGATACACAGTAGCACACTTTCTGAAATAGTCGTACATCATGCACTTTTAATCACAATTATAACTTTTACACAATGACTGAGTGGGTCTCTATAGTACTTTTCCCCAAGAAATATTTACCAGCTAGTGAGAACTTAGCTGATGAAAAGGGAATCCTGGGAAATAAAACTTTGTATAGAAGTTATATCATTTCTGTACATAAAATTTTTATTTTTTACAACCAAGCACCCAGATCAAATAAATATCACAGGGAGTTTTGTTGATATCAACAGTTAACAAGTTATCTGCAAAGGTTCTATTAAGTAAATTTAACTTTTCTTGAGTTTCATTTTAATAAGGTGATAGTAGCACAACGTCTTCAGCGTACATCAATAAATGAAATCTTTACCTCTATATAATGGTAATCTAATAGAGTTAAAGAAAAGTTGAGCAATTTTGGACAAGAACAGAAAAAAAAATTCAAAAACCGAAAATTAAGATAAAGAGAAATAAAGAAATCAAAGTTTTGACATTATTAGCTATATGTTACCAAAAAATGGTAATAATAATAATAATCCATATATATTTAGTAGTTATAATTGACGTATTAATTCTTTTAATTAATTGTATGTTTTATCTAAGGTCTTAGTTGAGATGAAAAAGCTAGTGACATGAGCGGGAATCGAACCCTAAAAATATGGCGAAAAGAGTGAAAATTCGAAAGTTTGAGATGAGGAGTTGGTGTATTTAACAGAAGGTCGTAGGTACAAATCTTGTTCTCCACACTAGCTTTTTCATCTCGACCAAGACCTTAGATTAAAACTATACTTAATAAATATAATAACAATGTGTGTTGTTTAGCGACCGTTAGTTAATGATTATTTGGAGATCGTGATCGTGCGCTCTGGTGTGACGTAGGTTTTAGAAAAAATTTTCTTTATCATGCCAAGGTTGCGATCTTTATTGAGATCATCTGGTATTTATAAACATTGTTTAAATTTTAAAAATACATGTAGGATGTGAAAAAAAAGAATTTATACAATGCTAGAAATTTTATATTCAATCAAAGTTATCGTACTCATTCAAAGTGTTTGTTTTCTGTGTAGATGTGTCATTCTTATGTCTCGTGTTGAGAGTTCCGGTGAGATATTGATGTTTTATGTTTTTATAGTATATACGTTGGATTTTGAAGGGGTGGGGAAGGAAGTCGGGATAGAAAGACATTTTTATATGAAGAGTCGGCTTCTTTGAGGAGAAAGGACCCGACAAGGGGGAAAAAATGTGTAATGGTTCGGCCTGATTATCCTTTCAGGATTATATCGACGGGGATAATTAGGGAAAGGAAAGCCACATTCTAGAAGAATTAGACTATGTAGAAATGTTTGATGTGTGGAATGTGATGATTGTTCTATATGTTTGGTGTGATGTGATTTATTGTTATTGATATTGAATTTGATTAATGTTTACATGTGTCTGTTCTGTATTTGATGCTGTGTTTATCACTGTTGATGTCAACCATTTATAAAAAATTACCTTTATGTTTGTTTTGTTCTGTGTGTACTATTTTTGGATTATTAAAATCGAAATTGTGTTGGTGTTCAAAATGGTGGGTAGCCAGTGCTGTAGGATTTTGCTTGGGTTTTTTGCAATCATAGATATGCTGATTTACTTTTTTATCCAGACATTGGGATGTAAGACCGATGTAAGTTGCCGGCCAATTTAAACCATTCATTTTGTAAATTACGTCTGATTTATTTGTTACTGGTGTGGGATCTTTAATTTTGGAAAAAAGTGTGTAAATTGTTTTTTAGTTTTTGAAAGCTATTTTAAAGTTATCAGAAGAGAGAAAGGTGTTTAATTTATGGCATGGAAGTGTATGTTGGTTTGTCTGTATTTGATAGATTTGATGTAGCAACCGTGGATGGTGTTAGAGTTGAGCTGTCGTTGTTGATTATTCTGTTGATTATGTGTTTAGGGTAGTGAGTGTTATGGAGGATATGTTTGTATATATTTATGCTCTTGTGGTGAAATGATTCATGGCTTAGGGTAATGATTCTGTGAAGTAACCCTTTGGCCGTGTTTATTATATGAAGAGGATGGTGTGATGTAAAGTTGAGGTAGCGATCTGTTTCTTGGTTTTTGATACCAATCTGTGATTAATGTGCCATCTGGTTGTTTTAGAAAGAGTGTATCTAAAAATGGTATTGTTTTGTTTTCGATTTCATGTGTAAATTGTAGGCGTGGGTGAAAGCTATGAAATGATCTAATGTAGTGTGAATTTGATCTGTGGGAACTGCTGTCAATATATCATCTACTTATTACCCCGTCTATATAATCTTGAAAGGAGAATCAGGCCGAACCATTACCCATTTTTTCCCATTGTCGTCTCCTTTCACCTCCTCATATAAAACTATCTTTCTATTCCCTTCAAACCACCACCCCTTCAAAGTCCAACGTATATAAACGTAAAACATCAATACCTCACTGGCACTCTCAACATGACACATAAGAACAGATACATCTACACAGAAAACAAATCCTTTGAGTGAGTACAAATTTGATTTGATTAAACCTAAAATTTCTAGCATTGCATAAATTCATTTTTTTCACATCCTACATGTATTTGTAAAATTTAAACAATGTTTATAAATCCCAGGCCCTGAAGATAATCTCAATAAAGATCGAAGCGTTGGAACGATAAAGAAAATGTTTTTCTAAAACCTACGTCACACCAGACCTTATCTCACGATCTCCACATAATCATATAATAATAGTAGTAAAAATATTTGTACAACAAACAAAGGATAAAAGTCTTGAAGAGGTAAGAGAAAAAAATGTATAATTCGAAAATTAGTATAAAATTCAAAATTGAACTCCATAACAAGGTCTAAGCTATGCATCCAGGAGTGGCGGAAGTACAAGTGAGCGCCCGTTATCCGACGCATTCGACAAATTTACAGTTTTTCTCTACTTAAAACAAGGCAAGTGCCTGATCTCGCCAAATATGTACACTCAGTCATAAAATGAAATTCTTCAATGGGCTGAGAATTGCAAAGAGCTCATAACATACGTGCCCCTCAACCTAAGGGCGGAGTTCAAATTAAGAGATTATTATTAGTCATCGTAGGGCGTCCAGATTATCGCACTGAAGATTAAACAGATGTGGGGTGAAACAAGTCTTTAAATATGGAAAAGTTAAGCGAAGACTGAGCCCGGAGTAAGTAATCGGCACTATGCTCTTTCCTCGATTCTAGATTGAAGAATTGAAAAAAGATCTGGCCAGTCAGCACGGT